TCCTTTGTCCAAGGTACCTTCCTTGCCCCGGATGGATTAAAAAATCTTGTGTTTTAGTGTTAAGAGGAAAAACTTGTTATATCCGAGTTATAGTCCACCATCTTAGACTTTGACCAATGACGTCATCTAATTAACATTAATTATAAATTTGTAATCATAAAAATTATATGAACTTACAGTAATGTCATGAATGTTTGATAAGAGGAAAAATTTTAAACAAAAAAAATGGAAATTTTATTCTTATACTGAAATTGCTGAATTTGGCAAAATATGCCTGTCAGCAACCAGTTGCCATGGCAACATGAAAGTATGAATATCAAATTATTGCAAAATTTATTTGAGGAAAAGTCACCAAGTTTGGTGGTTCTGGTTTAAACTTTTCAGACATTATACAACAAGAAAGTGGCCGTGGGCCTCAAAACACCGCCCCCCTCCCCATATAACTGTTGCCATGGTAACCCGTTGTCATCCCAGAAGAAAACAACTTTTGTAAGTGCGAGGTAGGTTTCCTTAGCACTTGAAAAAAGCTTTAGATGTCGTTTTCTTTACTGTATAGCCATGCTGTGGGTGCTTTTTTCACTTATAATGCAGCGGTTGGGATTCTTTCACAATGGAAATAATGGTTTAGTCTAGGGGTCACTGTACTCCCCCCCATGGAGACCCCAAAGATATTTTCTGATATGTTGTAGACAAAGGTTATAGCCATAACTGTGTCAAAAATCAACTAATTCTACCTGCCTTTTAAGCGGCCATGGTTCACTAAAAACGTCCTAAAAATGGCTTTTTCTCAATTTTGAAATTTTACAAAAACACGCCATTTTTAAATGTCTGCTACAGCTCACCACAAAAACATTTTGAGCAAAACTTCATATCATTTTCTTAGTTACAATATGGATCATAAAATATGTTAGAAGCAATGAGATATGTGTTACTTTCTGTGAGATACTGAAGATAAAAGATGGTCCATTTTGGGCAAGACTTATGCCTCCACAAGGTAAAAATCCGCCATTTTGAAAAATGGCCGTTGCCATGGCAACAAATAACCAGGCGTCCAAAACTTACCCATTTTTGTAAGTTTGTGTCAAGGCCCTACCACCACACAAAGTTTGAGAAAATTTGATTTTTTGAGTTTGGCCACTTTTTTTCTGATTTGCTTGGTTTTTACAGACATCGGCTCTTAAGTAGTTTTTCTGAAGTTACAGGCTGCGGCGACACAGCTATTGTGACAGTTACTTACTTATGTTCTTTACCACTTGTCAAATACAAAATAAACACTTGCAAAAATCGTACTCCTTGCTTCTAAGTCATCTCTTTAATCAATCTTGTTTTAGGTTATCATGTCATTTTTATTTTATATAGGACACTCCGACAGGCGTCATGTACACTTATATTTAATGTCTAATGCAGGACAGGGACGAGTGGAGAAGAAGAACCCAGTGTCTCCCGTGATGACATCCCCGATGTCCCCGTTCAAGGCTTCAAGGACGTTTAATGTGAGCCAATCCAGCTGACTTTAATTTTTGCCAGGGATGCGTATTTCCTTTCCGCTTCTTATATCTTACCACAGATAATTTGGCTATTTTTAAATGTAAAAGTATCTATGATAATATTTGACATAAAAGCTGGCGCTCTCACGGCGCGTGTTGCATTCCAGAACGTGTTTCATTCCAAATTATGATTTGAAATAAAACGAAGTGGAATGCCTGTTGTGTTGCATTCCAAAACGTGGTCCATTCCAAATCATGATTTGGAATACGAATAACACGTTTTGGAATGCAACAGCGCGCTCTGAAATTGGCCAGAGCGCCGAACATCACGAAAAACGTGCTCTACGGCGACCTCTCTGCGCGACTAACAGCTCAAATGTCAGCAACGTTTATGGGCGACCAACGAATTCATAGCTCACTCAACGAATATTACGGAAATAGAGAACGAAATTTTGTATGTTTTGTTTCTTTAATTGTTTTCACAATCACTCTTAGGCTTGTACATCCTGCATCATATTCAAGGTATGAAATCAAGGGTGTTAAGGCCCCCATATCTCTGACGGCGCTCTCTCTGCGACCTAAAATTGTGGGAGCGCGGAGAGAGCGCCGTCTAAGTGGAATGCGGTATATCTAAATTAATGTTAGGGCAGTTGTGGGCTCTCGTGGCGCTCGCTTTCGCGCTCTCACGGCGCTCATTGTTGCATCGCCGACCTTGGCGCTCTCACGGCGATGGTATGAACCGCTTCCGTACCATCGTCGAGGTGACGGCGCGCTCGCGCGGTCATGGCGCTCTCATCGCGCTCTCATCCCGCTCTCATCGCGCTCTCATCCCGCTCTCATGGCGCTCTCATCCCGCTCTCATGGCGCTCTCACGGCGACCTTGGCGCTCTCTCCTCCCTCTGACCAATTTTACGCGTGGAGAGAGCGCCGTCTAAGTGGAATGGGGGTATATATAATAAGCTGACTTGTCCCAAGGACATGTCCTAGTTTTGCCAAAAGACGTATTGACTCCACGCGTGTAACGTTATCTTGCTCAGGAAATGTGGCTGTTGATAATGTGAAATGTAAATTTCAACGTACCGTATTTAACGTGACAAGTCATTTACTTCGAGAAAGGCCGAAGAGTGGTACCGTGCCGAAAGCCGTGAGTTCGTATTCTTTACGTTTTATTGAAGTTGCTGATCTTCATTGAATCTTCTAACAGAATTTTAAAAAGTAAACATTTATCTAAAGTGCAATCGGTATGCGATATCAGAGGGTCAATCAAAGTATGAATCTTAAAGCTAAACCTAGGTATGGTAAGCTGGTGTCACTGCGATTTCGCCTTCCCATCGAAAAATCAGTTATTTCCTCGAAAACATCCGTTTAAGCATGTCCAAGTACACAAATTTGTTAAATAATTCTAATCATATTATTTCGCTGTATGTGGGGAATTACTAATATCTTGCATGTATACACTCTCACAACAAATATTTTACCAATGATCAGCTCAAATCCTGCGTTGTTGATATGCGTATGCTGTACACAGAAGGGGAATATTTCAACCAAGGAGGTTACCTTCTTGCTTTAACTGAACCTGTAATGATATCGTTTGAAGTGTTAATCAAATTTGTGTACCTGCCATACCTGTGGTACGAGTACCGTAAAAGAGAAGACTAAGGGGCGGAAGGGGGCCAGATCTACGGAGGCGGGGCGAGATCGCTGTGACACCGGCCACAATCGAATTTAGAATCCTGAGTGAATGGACTGTCAGAAAAAGCTAGTACAGTGGATTTCCTTTGACAGTTTGAAAATATTAGTGTGACTAAATGCCTTCAAGTTTATGTTTTCTTTGCTATTTGTTTGCCGATAAGTATGTACGTTTTCGCAGTGGCCTTACAGATACATAGTTTGATTTATTTGCTGTTTTTGAAAGCTATTTGCAACCCTTCACAATACAACTCATGAAAGAACTTGAATGTGCAAACTTAATTGTAGCTGACAGTTCTCTAATATAACTCTTTAATTGTTATGTGGTGCGAATGGGTGATTTAAAACACTTGTTGATCAGGTAAATGGACACATTTTTGTCTTTTGACATGTAATGCAATCAAGTCTATTCATTCTGCGAATGAAACAATATAAATGCATTGACGTTTGTTTTGTTTTGGCTTGACCTCCTTAGTATACATGTAGTAGCAGCCAAAACACCCAAACCCTTCTCCCCAATAAATATCTTCGATTAATTGTTGCTTGTTGTTTCAGAAGAAAAGGAGACCATGAATCCAAGGGTGTTGTTTGGAGCACTAGCCCTGGTGCTTGTGGTGGCTAAAGCGGATGGTCAGTAAATATCATAAGTGTATCAGTAAATATCACGTATCAGTAAAGTCTCATGTGAATAAGGTCACGTGGTTGTAACCGTGTATGTAACTGCGACGGGGCCGACATCGTCTAGTAGTTTTTATCTTCTGGGATGGGAGGTTTGACGCTAGGTCTTTTATTATGTATTTTCAAACGTCTTGTTGAATACTTTTTTCCATCGTAAAAGTGGCTGCGAGAATATAAGTTGTACATGTACCTAACTTGAGTTCTCAGCCACTTAGCCCGTGTCCTTTCATTTGTATTCATTACTGTGTTTCTGAAAAAAAAGAGAGTTTATTTCGTTTTTTGTATTTTTCAGCCTGTGCCCGCTGGACCCGCTGGATTGACCGTGACGATCCCGGCTCCCATGGAGACTTTGAAGATCTTCCACTCATTCGAGATGAGTATCCTGGCGCGGTACCGTGCTCAGTACCGTCCCGTATCCAGGGCCGTACTGTCGATACCCACACCAACGCTTTGCAGACAGGAGAACGCTTAGAACACTTCAGCCCGACAAAGGGCTTGTACTGCAGGAACTCAGATCAGAGTGACGGCCGCTGCCGCGACTATGAAGTCCGCTTCTGCTGCGATCCTGGTACATTCAATACTATAGCTATCTCCGTCTAATCTCCAAGCAGATCCCTTTCGGTGGCAAGGCAGCATCCATTAGCCAGAGAAGTTTTGCCGACCACCTCATGGATACTGTCTTGCCACAGAAATCTCCGTCGTACTTCTCTTGTTTCACATTTCCTCTCCCGCATGCTCCTAACCTGCTTCCTGGACAGGGTCGTCTTTCTTCATGACTTTCGACATGTCGGTATTTTTAATAGGATTAGAAATGGACCACATATGAAATGCAAATTATTCCAAATAGGACCACCTGTACATATCATTCATTGATTGGCTAAATTTTGGGCATAGAAGTAGCTTTTGCAAAGCAAATGTATGCGCATAATATTTACCTTCGCGAGCTATGTAAGTGCGAGCTCTGCAAAAATTGGTTCAGGTCATTTAGATCACTGTTTGGAGAAGAAGAAGTGGAAGAAGAAACTGAGCAAAAAACAACATTTTCCTTCGGTAAACCTAATTAGAGAATGCTATAAATTCATAGTAGTAGCTATCGGGAATTCATATATACCGCATTTGGAAGTTAGGTGAAGGTGAACGGCATTAATCATAACTTAGTCACCGCCACCGGTATTCATGGCCTACATGTACACACCGTTATATAGATGAATCTTGCTCAAACACTATAGGCAGTTTTGATTTCGCTAGAGCGATGTTCAACTTGTCAAGTTAGTTGTTATGGTCATGACGATTTACCTAACGTCACCTTACGCAAATGTCGACACCACTAGAAAGTTAAAATGAGAAACCTTCATCACATGAAAGCTCCCTGGTTAAAATGAGCCAACAATAGTTTTTGCACGCTTTGATTTATCATTTCAGTACAATGTCCTGCGCTGAGTTTTGCCAGTGCCACCTCCTACCAGGCCGTGGTACACTTTTCCTGTAACCCTGGGTACGTGTTGGTCGGAGCCTCCAGCACTACTTGTCAAGCTGACGGCACCTGGAGTGCACCGGAACCCACTTGCAGGGGTAAAGAGGTTTTCTTAGAACTAAATGTGCTAATTTCAACTGAAAAAATATACTTAAGTGTGCTGAAATGTCACCTGTACAGGTATTAATAGCTTACACTTACATGTACATGTATACACCAATATGAAGGTGTATAGATGCATCTTATTCAAACACTGAATTTAGCGCAGTTTTGCTTTCGCTGGAGTGATATAGTCATCTCAGTTATCATATTCATGTTGTTTCACCTAAAAAAAACTTACGCAAATGTCAACACCTCTCCAATGGGCGTGAACGAGACAACTAAGTTTAGTTTTTACAAAGTTAACTTTGATTTGTGATTTCAGCTGTACAATGTCCTGCGCTGAGTTTTACCAGTGCCACCTACTACCAGGCCGTGGTACACTTCCGCTGTAACTCCGGGTACGAGTTGGTCGGAGCCTCCAGCACTACTTGTCAGGCTGACGGCACCTGGAGTGCGCCGGAACCCACTTGCAGAGGTAAGGAGGTTTTCTTAGAACTAAATGTAAATTTCAACTGAAAAAATATACTTAAGTGTGCTGAAATGTTTGTCAGTCATATCATGGAATATTCAGTAAAGGAAGTCGCTAAACACCAACTATTTGGCGTCGGAATATTTATTAGAACGGTCCCATACTAAATGTTTTTTTTTCATTTGTTTATGCAAGATTATGTCACATAGATTCATTTGTGATCGAAAATCTGGGAATAATATTATGCTGTTTTTTAAAATGTCACCAATTTTATTTCATTCTTTCACCGACAATCAAGGCTGTCGTATAACACAGGGAAAGTAACAAGAATTACAAGAATTAATGCATTCCGTGTGATGATGACGGCTTTCATTTGCTATTGTTGTAACTATCTTTTCTTTAATTTTTACCTTATACCTTTATTTTTTTTTGTCTATAAGATGTCAACGAATGTGCCAGAGGCTTGCATAACTGCCACACCCACGCCTCCTGTATCAACACAGCGGGCAGTTTTACCTGTAGATGTAACACCGGCTACAGCGGGAATGGAGTCACCTGTACAGGTATTAATAACCTACACTTAGGTCGTGTCTATACGGAATCAACCAAACCGCGATTCGGGTAACTCACATTCCTCACATCTGGTCCACGTGCCACATACACCTGTGAAACCGTGTCCGAACATAATGCGCTTGAGCTACATTTATTGCTGTTTGATGATAACACGCAAGGCGGCGTGTTATTAATGTCAGAGGTCAACGACCTGCTTGCTAATGCCCCCCTCCCAGCGTATTTCGGCCGAATGCCGACGTGGTCCCGCCAGGGCGGTGAAGCTCGCCCTAGAACGGACACATTATTTGACCATTACTGCTCTTTAAGTTGCTGCCACGTAAAAGTTGGTATTGCATATAAATAAAGAAATATCACCCCGTAATCCATGACCAAGTCACATTGAAATCACATTGCGTTCAGACGCAAATCGCGATGCGGGAAAACCGATTCGAAACCACCTCTAGAAGTGGCTTGGGCTCGAGGCGCTTTCAATGTGATTTCGGAGCGTTCACATGGAGCCACTTGAAACCGGCTTCGGGGTAAACCACATGTAAACCGCCTTGGGTGATTCCGTTTAGACACGGCCTTGGGCCGTGTTCATGTGAAGTCAGTGAAGGCGCTTTACATGTGGTTTACCCCGAAGCCGGTTTCAAGTGGCTCCATCTGAACGCTCCGAAATCACATTGAAAGTGCCTCGAACCCAAGCCACTTCTAGAGGTGGTTTCGAATCGGTTTTCCCGCATCGTGATTTGCGTCTGAACGCAATGTGATTTCAATGTGACTTCACTTGGTCATGGATTACGGGGTGATATTTCTTTATTTATATGCAATACCAAATTTTACGTGTCAGCAACTTAAAGAGTAGTAATGGTCAAATAATGGGTCCGTTCTAGGACGAGCTTCACCGCCTCTGGCGGGACTACGTCAGTATTCGGCCGAGATACGCTGGGAGGGGGGCATCAGCAAGCAGGTCGTTGACCTCTGACAATAACGACACGCTACCTAGCGTGTTTTCATCAAACAACAATGAATGTAGTTTCGGAGAATCGTGATCGGGCACGTTTTAAAAGGAATGTATGGCACGTGGACCAGATGTGAGGAATGTTACCCGAATCGCGGAAAGTACCAAGAATTAATGCATTCCGTATGATGATGGCTTTCATTTGCTGTATATATCTTTACCGTATAACTTTATTTTGTCTACAAGATGTCAACGAATGTGCCGGAGGCTGGCGTTACTGCCACCCCTACGCCTCCTGTAGCAACACAGCGGGCAGTTTTACCTGTAGCTGTAACACTGGCTACAGCGGGAACGGATTCACCTGTACAGGTATTTATGACCTACGTGTATGAATGTACATGTACACGCTGTCGTATAACACAGGGAAAGTACCAAGAACTAAATGTATTCCGTATGATGACGGCTTTCATTTTCTGTATGTATTGTACTATATTTTCTTTAATTTTTACTTTATTACTTGTTTTGTCTACAAGATGTCAACGAATGTACCAATGGCCAACATAACTGTGGCACACACGCCTCCTGTAGGAACACAGCGGGTAGTTTTACCTGTAGCTGTAACACCGGCTACAGCGGGAATGGAGTCACCTGTACAGGTATTTATGACCTACACTTACATGTACATGTACACGCTCTTGTGTAGATATCCTATGTATCTTGCTCAAACACTGAGGGCAGTTTTGTCTTCGCTGGATCGATGTAAAATTCAGTAAAAATGACATCATAGATTCATTTGTGATCAAAGATTTCGGGATGATATTATATTGTTTTCAACAATTTTTACAAATTTTATCTCATTCTTCAATCGACAATTAAGGCTGTCGTATAACACAGGGAGAGTACCAAGAACTAAAAGTATTCCGTATGATGATGCCTTTCATTTGCTGTATGTATTGTTACTTTTTGCTTTAAACCTTAATTTATTTCGTCTATAAGATATCGACGAATGTGCCAATGGCCAGCATAACTGTGGCACCCACGCCTCCTGTAGGAACACAGCGGGCAGTTTTACCTGTAGCTGTAACACCGGCTACAGCGGGAATGGAGTCACCTGTACAGGTATTTATGACCTACACTTACATGTACATGTATACATATATATTATGAAGATGTACAATGTCACAATGTACAGGTACAGTACATGACATTGTATGTTTTTATACATGTACGTGTATACATGAATCAAGGGTGTCGTATAAAACAGGAACAGTCCAAACTAAATGTTTGCAATTGATGACAGCTTCCATTGGCTGCATTCAAAGGTAATATATCTTTTCCTTAATTTTGTCCACTAGATGTCAACGAATGTGCCAATGGTCAGCATAACTGCCACACCCACGCCTCCTGTAGGAACACAGCGGGCAGTTTTACCTGTAACTGTAACACCGGCTACAGCGGGAACGGAGTCACCTGTACAGGTATTTATGACCTACACTTACATGTACATGTGGAGACGGACGACCAGAACGGTCCAATACTAAAAGTTCAATTTCTTTTTAAGTATGTAGTGATTGTGCTACGTAGATTCATTTGTGATTGAAAATTTGGGAATGATATTATGCTGTTTTCAACAATGTCACAGATTTTATCTCATTCTTCAATCGACAATCAAGGCTGTCGTATAACACATTGAAAGTACCAAAAACTAAATGTATTCCATGTGATGACGGCTTTCATTTGCTGTATGTACCGGTATTGTTACTATGTTTTCTTTAATTTTTACCTCATAACTTATTACACCGCGGGTAGTTTCACCTGTAGCTGTAACACCGGCTACAGCGGGAACGGAGTCACCTGTACAGGTATATAATTATGACCTACATGTACACATGTACATGTACATGTACACGCTGTTATGTAGATATCCTATGTACATGTATCTTGCTCAAACATTGAGGGCAGTTTTGTCTTCGCTGGATCGACGTAAAATTCAGTAAAAATGACATGATCATAGATTCATTTGTGATCGAAGATTTGGGGATGATATTATGATGTTTTAAACAATGTCAACAATAATTATTTTATCTCATTCTTCAATCGACAATCAAGGCTGTCGTATAACACAAGGAAGTACCAAGAACTAAATGTATTCCGTATGATGTTGGCTTTCATTTGCTGTGTGCATATGTTACTATCTTTCCTTTAATTTTTACCTTTAATAAATTTATTTTGTCTTCAAGATATTGACGAATGTGCCAATGCCCAGCATAACTGTGACACCCACGCCTCCTGTAGCAACACAGCGGGTAGTTTTACCTGTAGCTGTAACACCGGCTACAGCGGGAATGGAGTCACCTGTACAGGTATTTATGACCAACATGTACGCATGTACATGTACACGCTGTTATGCAGATATCCGATGTATCTTGCTCAAACATTGAGGGCAGTTTTGTCTTCGCTGGATCGATGTAAAATTCAGTAAAAATGACATCATAGATTCATTTCTGATAGAAGATTTGGGGATGATATTATGTTGTTTTAAACAACGTCACCAATTTTATCTCATTCGACAATCAAGGCTGTCGTATAACACAGGGAAATACCAAGAACTAAATGTATTCCGTATGATGTTGGCTTTCATTTGCTGTGTGCATTGTTACTATCTTTTCTTTACTTTTTACCTTTGATAAATTTATTTTGTCTTCAAGATATCGACGAATGTGCCAATGCCCAGCATAACTGTGACACCCACGCCTCCTGTAGCAACACAGCGGGTCACCGTAGTTTTACCTGTAGCTGTAACACCGGCTACAGCGGGAACGGAGTGACCTGTACAGGTATTTATGACCTACACTTACATGTACATGTATACACCAATATGAAGATGCATCGATGTATCTTGCTCAATCACTGAAGGTGTAGTTTTGTTTTCGCTGAAGCGATGGGGTCATGTCAGTTGTCATATTCTTGTCGTTTTACCCAACAACACCTTACATAAATGTTTAGAAACTGACCAACTATAGTTTTTACAAACTTTGATTTCTGATTTCAGCTGTACAATGTGCTGCACTGCCACGCTCGGCGAACTTGGTGCTGAGTTCTACCAGTGCCACCTCCTACCAGGCCGTGGTACACTTTACCTGTAACCCCGGGTACAAGTTGGTTGGAGCCTCCAGCACTACTTGTCAAGCTGACGGCACCTGGAGTGCGCCGGTTCCCACTTGCAGGGGTAAAGAGGTTTTCTTAGAATTTTCTTAAAATGCTTACCTAAACTGAAGTAATTAGAAATTATTATTATTAAAAATAAACTTAAATGTGCTGAAATCTTGGAACATATTCTATCAGCAGTGTACCAATCATTTGGAGACGAACAACTTATTACAACGGTCCAGATACTAAATGTTCTTCATAACATTCATTTATCTGATAATCGTAACACATAGGCTCATTTGCTATTGAAGATGATACTATTATCGATATTGATCACTAAAGAGATTTTATTCTTACAGACGTAGATGAGTGCCAGACTAACGGAGGCCAGGGACCTTGTGACCAAATATGTATAAACGAGCAGGGTAGCTACCACTGCTCCTGCCAGGCGGGATATCAGCTTGACGTAAACAGCGTCTCGTGCATCGGTAGGAACAATTTTATTTTGACTCACAATTTATAAGGAAGTTCTTTATTCAACAACTATTTACTGCAGGTAGGCTAGATGTCGCTTCTGCAGTACTACAAATGCAGCGATACCTACCTCACCTCAAATCTTGGTTGATAACTCATAGACTAATATTTGAAGGCATGACTGTTTCTTGTTTTACCTTATATCTTTTGTCTACAAGATGTCAACGAATGTGATGAAGCCCAGCATGACTGTGAGCAGACGTGTCAGAACATTGCGGGCGGATTCACATGCGGATGTAACAACGGTTTTCTTCTCAACCCCGATGGGAAGACTTGCTCGGGTAACTGTTTGATGTAACATTAATCACTTCGCACATCAATTGTATTGCTGTTGTTTTTTTTCAGAATGGGGTTCAATTTTGCATTTAGTGTGTGTGATATATGAAGAAGCTTATGATACAGTGATTATCATGGTTTCTAGTCATGATTTCTATCAAAGGTATTAGTTAGCTAGCAAACCATGCCTCTGTAAAAAGGAAATTTCAGTGGACTAGTCCGGACTAGTCCGAGGTGGTCCCAGCAGGTCCTAGCAGGTCCCAGACGGTTGGGACTAGTCCTGTCAGACACAGATCGGTCCGAGGTGGTCCTGGGAGTTGGGGGCAGGACTAGTCCGGCAGGTCCACTGGTCCCGGACTAGTCCCGGACCTGACTACAACCCTTTGGACTAGTCCCGCTTAATTAAAACCTTCGTTATCAGAGAGCCGTGGTGCAGCGCCCCCTTCTGTACATCGGACGTATCGACCAAAAAGTCGGTCTGGGGCAAATCCAAACAACTTGTAGAAAGTTGAAAACTAAGCGGAGCTCATATTATGGCTAGAATACGCCGTGAAATATGAACACGAAATCGTTGTCAACTTGCATAAATTTTACATTAATTAACACAAGTAGAATCATGAAAATCTTTCAAGTCCTTTGTGAAATATAATATGAAATTGTGGGGAATATGAAATTGTGGGGGTTTTCTTCGATACAAAAGAGTTCTCAAACTTGTCAAAGTCGCCCGCGGCTCACTGGACCTGTGAGTCAGCTGGTGTTGTCTTTATGCGCTGCGAGTGCGAACAGCTATGTCAGGCCCCTCAATTGACGATAAACTATACTCTTCATCTCTTTCTCCATCGTCGCGTCTTGTTTTGAGGGTGATAAATGCCGCAGAAGACGTCATATTCTTGACGACTTGGTGCCGCGCAGCGCCGCGCCGACGGCCGGCCAGTAGTAAACAATGGCGGCCATCTTGGCGGGTCACGTGGTTTGTTGAGATTTCGCAATCCTTTGGATCCGGGAATGTTTCATATTCTTCAAGCTGACCTCTTTGAAAATCTGTGGGTTCAGAACCGGCTAACCGGCTGAATGGGTTCCAAGGGTGAAGATGTGGTTTTAGTGGATTTTCGGTGGATTCAGAACCGGTACGGTCCGCTGATTTTGGACCCACATACTTGATACTTGATATATGGTATAGGGTATAAAGGGCCGCCTGTCAGCCTCAGAGCTTGGCTGGAACTAATTAACGCTGGCACTGCCGGGCAAACAAACCAGCGCAAACTGTGGGAAAAGGTTGACCAAGCTCCTTGGGTTGACATTACGCTGCGCGGTGTATCAAAAGTCACTGTATATATTATAAAACAAATGAAGACTGAAGGATTTACCTGCGCAAAATATACTTGAAAAAATTGCATTCCCAAGATATTAGTTGATAGAGAATGCAGTACCAATTTTTCCTCTTGTCTGTACGGGTTTAGTTGCTTCTGTACTCGATAGAAAATATGCCCGGACACGCCGCTAATCGACTGGAATCGCGCAGCATCTAGCGCATGATGCACGCCCTAACTTTGTTACCGATCGCGTGTTACAAGAATGATTGATTAATCTCTATTAAAGCAGATCCCTCTCAGTGGCAAAAAGACAGTATCAAATTGGCCAGGCTGTATCCATTAGCCAGAGAAGGTCCGCGGCCACGTGGGGGTCAGGACAAAAAAACGGCCATATATAAAAATGTAACGATCTTCCCCCACAACTTCTGCTTGGAGAGTAATGATTGATTACTGTTTTGAATTCGAACCTGCCAAGGCTCAGCATACAGCACCATCGAATACTTAGTAAATGTTTATCAAAAACAGACTCGCAAGCCCGACAGAGTTATAGTGTACATATATCATTTCCCAGATAATTTGACCATATTTCCTAAACTTGTCGTATATGCGCCACAACTTTTCTCTCGAAACCATGTTGATGTGACACGATCACCCACCGCGGCGGGTGGCCATGGGGACAAAGTACGAGTTGGTCTACACGTGGTACAGACTCACGGTCGACTGCTCAGGCATGCCATTCTAAATTAGCCTGGGTTCCAGACCCATAGCACACTGGACACAAATATCTCAGTGAGCCTGGATATATTTTGTGTCCAGTGTGCTTTGGGTCTGGCATCCAGGCTATTCTAAATCGTCTAAGCAAAAGATAATATATAAACTCAGACTGAGTACTTACAGAACACGATAGCCTGGACAATCGGTCTTCCGATGATTTGGAAAATTCAATGCCCCAAGAGAATTTTCCTCTGAGCAGTGACATTTGGATCCTGCTATAGCAGCTGAACGCTTCAGTCCACCGGAGTTCACACATGATCCGGCCTTTCCCCGCCACGTCAGAAACGAAGCTCCTCAGCTGAGGTGATACTCCAGGCGTTTCTTCGTCATTCGTCATTATATATAAGTTCAGGCCTTGCATACAGTTTGCAATTTAAGTGCTCAAGAAATCCTAACATCCCTCTGAGTCTGACAGCATACGTCCTGCCGTCGGATCTGGCATCGGTTGAGCAGGACCCGTCGGCCTAACTCGGACAGCCCCCATGCCACGTCTAATCTTTTCTACTCCGTTAGTTTCGCGCCAATTTCTTTAAGCGGCCCCATATGGAGAACAACAACAACATCATATGCCGGAAGTTGTACTCTCCAAGCAGATGTTGGAGAGGCTGGCGGAAATTTCAAAACGAGTCGTAACCTTCCCACCAA